GGTCCTGATATGTCTTAATGTGTTAAAGAAAATTATCTAGGAGGCATGGTAAATGTAGTGGCGTAGTGGACAGAGGCCCGACAGCCAGTTCTGAGGTCTAGGGTTGGAATCAGCATCGAGACTGGTTTATATTAAAACCGACCACTTCAACCGAACATGAAATGGGTACCAGGTAGTGTCCTTGGAAGTAAAAGCAACCCACCTGATGTCGACCACATCGACCAGGGAGTGCCTAAACGATAAAAAGTATCTGCACAAATCTTTAGACTACAACATTAAGTTAACAGAGCATCATATGCAAGAGAAATTGCAACATTTGTTTGATGCTGTGAGGGTTTTGAGTAAAAGAAAGAAACGGATCTAAGTACTTGAGGAACATGGGATTGTTAACGGCGTTCACTAACCTCTGAGCCACGGGGCCGCACCCAATGTGCTGAATGGCAAACAATTGTAACAACATAGAAAAATAAAATGTAAAAAACAAACCCTTAAAAAAAGGGTGGGGGGGGGGGCGCTCAATGGGACTGAGACTCCAGTGTCCGAGCCCTGATGCCTGTAACAACAGGGTACCATACTGTACAACTGGCTAACTAGATGTCTCTGTAAGCCTACAGCCGGGGTTTGACCCAGCATCCCATTTCCACCGGGACTGTCCAGTTGTTTGCGTGTGCCCTGACCATCCAGTCGGTACTCCAAAAAACCTGTAGGCCTTATGAGATTTCACAGCTATAAATGCCTTTAATGCCCACAATATGATGACAGGAACTTTGACTGTATCATGTATTTTTCCCACTGCAGTCAGGGAGCATATTGTTTCGTTTATTTCTTGGCGTCAATAGTTATTTTAATACTACTGTCAAGCGAGTAAAAACTGGTTCACGCCAATGACTTGGGAGTTGGGCCGAAGGTTGGGGTAAAACTGACTCGCTTGGAATGTCCTGTTTTCAGTTTAGAATTTCAGTGGAATCACCATTTTCAGCTCAAAATGTTAGTGGAATGTCCTGTTTTTAGTTCAAGATATTAGTGGAAAATCACGTTTTCAGCTCAAGCCATCAAGGTCAACCTGTTTATGCGGCATACACTGTGGACAACTATAGTAAACCGTCAATCCCTAGGGATCATGGAGCTGTGTTGCTGGCTTTGGGCAACAGCATCTGCTACGCCAGTAAAGTCCAGTGATGCTCTGCTATACTGAGGCTGGTACTGTCATCCTCCTGACATCACGTAATCACTAGTTAATTGCAGCATCGTTCATTAACATACACCAAAAAAAAAAAATAACTGTCATTGACATATGAGCAAAGCATGACTTGTCTCAAGGAAACTGGATAAGGAACTTATAAGTCCCAAAAAAGAAATTACACCAAAGATGGCAGAGGTCACGAAACATCACGTGAACATCTGCATTCAGTTTTCAGGTACCCTCCTCTCTACAGCTTCCTTTGTTTGAGCTCTAACAGAGCGCCACAGTCCGTCTTTTACTGTCCACCCTTATTGGAGTCAGTCCTCAGCTGCTCTCTCACAAGTGTCTGCGTCAATCTCAATATCAACATAAACTGTGGATACGCGGGGGAAAACAACACAGAATAAAAGAGAAACACACCCGAAAACTCACATTGCCTCTGAAGACAGCCAATCCATTGTTCTTGGCATTAATGTGGACAAATGCTTGGCCTCGATCTAAAGCCAGGAGCAGATCATCGGGGATGTTTGTTACCTCCCCTGTCGCCTGTAGATAATGCCAGTTTGTGAGTGATTTTAATGTCGCCTCATAAAGTAAGTAAGTAAATTTTATCCCACCAGGACATCACACAGAGCGATCAACACCCGGTGACACAAAGTGCCACCTTGCGGATGAGGATCACCCGTGGAGAGGTCCCGGAACCCGCGTTCAGCCGTCAGGCTATATTGCGGTCCCCGGCAAAAGCCAGGGTAGAGCTTCAAAATAACGATAAATTGCGTCGCACATGGGGACGACCTTGGTTGCTGGATAAAATAGTCTCATAAAAGTGCTTTCATTTTTGTTATTTCGTATTGTTTGGGTATTGTTGTTTGTGAAAGTGGTATACATCAAGATCGAAATATAATTAATAATAACAGCAGATAGTCAGGTAGACGTAGAACCAATATAATGAGTGAATGACAAGTACCGGAACAAAATTGCATCAACGAAGAGAACAGACAGACAGACAGACAGACAGACAGACAGACAGACAGACAGACAGACAGACAGACAGACAGACAGACAGACAGACAGACAGACAGACAGACAGACAGACAGACAGACAGACAGACAGACAGACAGACAGACAGACAGACAGACAGACAGACAGACAGACAGACAGACAGACAGACAGACAGACAGACAGACAGACAGACAGACAGACAGACAGACAGACAGACAGACAGACAGACAGACAGACAGACAGGCAGGCAGGCAGGCAGGCAGGCAGGCAGGCAGGCAGGCAGGCAGGCAGGCAGGCAGGCAGGCAGACAGAGAGAGAGAGAGAGAGAGAGAGAGAGAGAGAGAGAGATAGATAGATAGATAGATAGATAGATAGATAGATAGATAGATAGATAGATAGATAGATAGATAGATAGATAGATAGATAGATAGATAGATAGATAGATAGATAGATAGATAGATAGATGGATGGATGGATAGATGGATGGATGGATGGATGGATGGATGGATGGATGGATGGATGGATGGATGGATGGATGGATGGATGGATGGATGGATGGATGGATGGATGGATGGATGGATGGATGGATGGATGGATGGATGGATAGATAGATAGATAGATAGATAGATAGATAGATAGATAGATAGATAGATAGATAGATAGATAGATAGATAGATAGATAGATAGATAGATAGATAGATAGATAGATAGATAGATAGATAGATAGATAGATAGATAGATAGATAGATATGAATAGAAAAATATAATGCTTAAAAAGAGGCTGGTACTCTATGTACCGCCTGTTATAATAATAATAATAATACTAATAGGAAGAAGAAGAAGAAGAAGAAGAAGAAGAAGAAGAAGAAGAAGAAGAAGAAGAAGAAGAAGAAGAAGAAGAAGAAGAAGAAGAAGAAGAAGAAGAAGAAGAAGAAGAAGAAGAAGATAAGGGTAGAAAAATACAAAGAAGAAGAGGAGGAAGAAGAAGAATTACTCACGTAACTGTAGCTAGCTGTTACTTTCCCCAGCTTCACTGGCTGCTGCTTCAGGGCGAACATTCTCTGCTGGTTGTTATGACTCCCTAGCAGAACCTCAAACGACCCTGGCCGTTTCTGGGCTGTAGCGACTGTTGCATCAAAGCGCAGGACACAGTCAGCATCCATGCTCAGCCAGACGTGAGCCGCTCCACCACGACCTGGCTCAGAAACTGGGACAAGGTTGGCGGGAACAGCTTTGGGTGGTGGGGAAAACAAAAAGAGCAAAACATCAGGCATGGAAACAGATAGAAAACATTGGGGGTAGATGGATGAGGCGGACTTAGCCATGAATGAGGCGGACTTAGCCATGGATGAGGCGGACTTAGCCATGGATGAGGCGGACTTAGCCATGGATAAGGCGGACTTCGCCATGGATGAGGCGGACTTAGCCATGGATGAGGCGGACTTAGCCATAGATGAGGCGGACTTAGCCGTGGATGGGGCGGACTTAGCCATGGATGAAGTGGACTTGGCCTTGGATGAGGCGGACTTAGCCATGGATGAGGCGGACTTAGCCATAGATGAGGAGGACTTAGCCGTGGATGAGGCGGACTTAGCCATCGATGAGGCGGACTTAGCCATGGATGATGCGGACTTAGCCCCAGCCGCCAGACATTCAATGTGGCGAGTTCGGTCTGGATTTAACTTGCTCCCGACAACAGCAAACAAAAAAAAATTCCCTCACCTTACCTAGGATTCGAACCATGGTGACAATTTAGCGTTCTTATCCGTTTGGCCAGCTGCTCCAGTTAAGACCTCTCGCGTAGCACCCGAGTTTTGCTTCTAGAAAGAATGGTGCCGGTAATCACCAGAAAGTTTATTACAAAGGTACTGCCACTAGTAGCGCTAATAAAATGACTCCTAAAAAAGGGATAGGCATTGCGCACCTTTATGGGTAAAAAGACTCTGGATAACGCATATCCTTATTTACATGTAAACACGAATCAAGAATGATGCTGCAACTGGCGCAGCAAGCCGGCAGAAATTTATCCGTTCACGTGAAATTGCTGAAGAATTAAGGAGGAATAAGAACAATAAAGACACTACGCCTTCACGGCATGACAATAGCCAGTGGCAGCCAGCGTGCACTGGATCGCAAATTATTCCTCCCCACGCCGCTTAACGGCAGAAGTGGTTTATGACGATGATGATGATGACGAATATGTGACATGAATATATAAGTTGAGTTGCGTATCCTTTACAGAACGTTGCAGAAGCAACCTCATTAATTTTGGTGGGTTTTTCTAGGCAAATTTTACTTTCAGTAGTTTGCCATTGTTTGCTAACCGGTCGGCTCTTGGTACCACTGTCAAAACCAACGCAAGACAACCGTCTGCAGCTAGGATCGAACCCAGCACCTCGGCATTAGAAGCGCGTTATCAACGTCTAAGCCACACAAGCCGACATCATCATCATCATCATCATCCCGTAACGCTGGTCAGCTCTCTCCACATGTGGCGGTCAGTTGCAATGGACTTCATGGTTGCATGCATCAATCCTGTCCAGTCAGTCAGGTTCTGTAACCAGGTCTTTCTTGGTCTGGCTCTTCTCTTCTTTCCCTCTACTGAGCCCCGCTGTATTGTTTTTAAGAGGCCGTTAGATTTTATTACGTGTCCATACTTTGCATTTTTCGTCTTTTCATTGTAGTTTAGAGGTTCATAGTTGCCAATGTGCTGTAATCAATATATGAAGATTAAATCTATGACAAAATGAATCTATGACAACAACATGAATAAATGATTTTACAGATAACTGTTTACCGTTATGAATGAAGTGCTCATTGTAGTTGAAGGAGACGAGTTTTCCCCGAAGCTGGCTGATTCTGTGTCTGGTTGTAGCGATGTTCACATACAGCTGGTCGTTCAGTAGACGGAACACATCTGCAGCTTCCAGTTTCCGATAGGTGCCGTTCTTCTGTCGTAGTAAACACACATTTATCATCATCGATATCTATGATGTCAGTGCATGGAACGGGTGTAATCGCTTTTTATATTTTTACTGCAAAAGAAAACTACATTCCGTTACTATTTATGATTACTGTTGACAATTTATTACACACGGTCGAATAGCCCCAGCAAAGGTAGCGTTTTACAAAATAAAGAATATTGTATGCGATCTTACTTTGCCAACTGAGACGAGAAAGAGAATTCTTTAAAGCTACATAAATCCTATATTAAAATACTGAAGTGAATCATGGACAGTTGGTAAATTAGTGACAACTTTTTTGGAAGCTGCGGAGATGTGGTTTTATAGACGAATGATAAGAATACCCTGGAAATATAAAAGGAGTAATGAGGATGTCTTAAAAGAAACTGATTCACGAAGAGAACTGATTGACCACATCAGAAAGAGACAATCTACATTCTTTGGTAATGTGATAAGAAGAAGAAAACTTGAGTACATTACAGTGGGTAAGTCGGAGGGGATGAGAGAAAGGATGCTTGACAATTTGACATCATGGCATGAAGGATCATCTGTGTCAGAGTTGATTGAAAGTACAGAAGGTTGTGGATGGACATGACTACCAACGCTACATGGCATGAACTTGAAGAAGAAGATGTCATCACTTGCGGGGTGGGCGAGACAAAAAAAAAAGGGGGAGGGAGGAATGACAAAATGATAAAAGTGTGTGATTTAACATAACAATATGTGTGTATTTGTGTGTGTGAGTGTTTGGGGGGTGAGGGGAGTGGAGTGGTGCTGCAGCTTGACCTTGCTATGCCATGGCTTAAGCCACACATGCAGAAACTAACGTGTGCAAGCTACCAGTTACCAACAGTGCGATGTGCATGCACTCTCAAAAGAGACGCGATAAGGAAGAAAGTATCGGGTGATACTCTCTTTAGTGAGACTGTTTCTTGCTAACACGTGCACATGCGAACTGATGAAGCCTCGCTACGGATTTATAAGCTGTTTTTTCGTCTCTCCTTCTGGACCCTTGTACACGTATTCACGAACACGAACATTTATTTAGAGTATATACCATTGGCATACCATATCTTTTGGAGGGTGCACGAAAATAGAGAGAGAGAGAGAGAGAGAGAGAGAGAGAGAGAGAGAGAGAGAGAGAGAGAGAGAGAGAGAGAGAGAGAGAGAGAGAGAGAGAGAGAGAGAGAGAGAGAGATAAGTCAGAAAAAGATTCGCTTTAGCAATGCAGAGACCAAACAGAACGAAGAGCCAAGACCGTATTCATCTGACGGGCCATGCTGCTGACGTCATCAAACGGAGCTAGCGATACGCAATCGTTGGCCCGGTTTGGTGACGTCAACAGCATGGCTCGTCATGGTGACGGTCTTGGAAAAACCTAAGATACAGCACCTACAAGCGAGTAAACATTTTGAGAGCAACACTCCTTCCCTTGCCAAGATATGAATGTGAGTCATGGACACTTGAACTGAAATACTACAGAAAAGTTTCTCTTTCTCTAGCATATTCTCCAGCCCTATGTGCTTTCATAGTTAAAGCGTCTTCAATGTTTGTATCCATCTTTGAAGATATCTGACTTTGCCTCGTTTACCGGAAACTGTGCACTGCATCGCCGCTCTCCCCAGGCCACTATGACGTTTAACAAGGCTACAATAGCTTAGCTGTCAGGACAGGATCCTGTCTATGAGCCAATTCTCCCCAATGCTCACATTATGTAGGATCTCGGAGTTTTCCTTCTTCCTGGTTTCACAGTATTCTAAGAATGATGATCAACTAAGATTGTTAAACAATTTTCTTACCCATTCCCCAACCGGGAACTTCTGAGTAGAGCTATCAGACTTGAATAGGTTCCCAACAAGTTTGGGACCGTACTCAAACTTCGAAGCTGCTCCCTCTAAGCGGATTCTTGTGATGTTGCTCAGGGGTCCAGAAACCTGAATCTAGAGGGAGAATGAAAACTTCAGGTGGTTTTTAACACATATTGTGTTTTTGTATTGTTTTGGGCAATTAATATGCAGACAGATTGGCTGGTTTTGCGCAAATGGCTGGTGAATTTATGCATGACAAGTTTAATGTCGTCCCTGTCCGTTTTGAACAAGCGAGCAATGCCGAGGCGCGATAGGTCTTTATGGTCAAGGGACAATGGTACAGCTAGGAGTCACTAGGGAATCTGGTCGACGCTCTACACTTAGAGCAAAGGCAGGGAAGACTACTACTAACAACTAGCACTATCGGAATTAAAACTCTTTGCTGGCTTCTGAAGATGAGGACGGAGCACTTATGAGAATGCATCGAGTGCTGTGATATCAGGTCTTACCTCAACATATTGTAAGCGGCTGGCGGAGGAAGAAGTATAGGCAGGGCAGATAGACTGGGTGCCTGCGTTCCAGGGATGTTGAGACAAAGAAGTCAGCGAAGACGCAAATGTAGAAAATGGGTATTGAACGAATATACACATGTAGAAACCGATTGTGAGGCACAGATAGAAGACACACAGTCAACTCCGACTAGCTTTCAAATCCATCTGCTACTCGCTGCAGCCTCAGCCGGTGTTCGAAACCGGGCTGTTCCCGGGGTTCACCTAGCTTCTAGGAAATAAGTACCAAAGTTTACACTCTGGGGTAAATGGAGGGACGTCGCTGTAGCTACATAATTTTGTGCGGACGGCGACAGAGGCGGACTATTTCTTTTTAACTGTCTGTACTGGTGGCAGTCAATCCCAGCTGCGGGCCATGCGCCTTGCATTGGTTTCGACAGTGGTATCAAGAAAGCCGACCGTCTAGAGGCAATGGCAAACTACTAGACGTAGATTTGCCAACAAAAAACCACACAACAGCCAGAGGCTGTTGGGGTTGGTTCTGCAAGGTCCTGTAAAGGATACGCAAGTAACCTAACTGGTGGCAGAGAACATATGGTTTATAACCGTGTGCAATGACGCTGGTTCACATCTCCTGACTTTATCCTTTAAAAAAAAATTTCTGGACATTCATCTCTGGACTTAAACTGGACAGTAATCTCTAGATTTATACTGGACAATAATCTCTAGATTTATACTTGACAATAATCTCTAGATTTATACTGGACAATAATCTCTGGACTTTTACTGGACAATAATCTCTGGACTTTTACTGGACAATAATCTCTGGACTTTTACTGGACAATAATCTCTGGACTTTTACTGGATAATAATCTCAGGACTTTTACTGGACAATAATCTCTGGACTTTTACTGGATAATAATCTCTGGACTTTTACTGGACAATAATCTGTGGACCTTTACTGAACAATAATCTGTGGACTTTTGCTGGACAATAATCTTTGATGTTTACTGGACAATAATCTCTAGACTTACCGAGTACTCCAGTCTGCCGTCCTCGCCCAGACGAAGCACGGCGCTACCTGATGAATAGGTCATCTTGTGGTCAACTGTCTGACTGCTGGACAGCACTGCCTGGAAAACTAGAGCACAATGTATCAGATGTGACATGTCTTAGTGGACTAATATTCAAATACAAATCATCAACACCACCACCACTACTTCATCATCATCATCCTCATCACACCATCAACGTTCATGTTAAAGCCTCGCTGGGAGGTGCAGTTTGCTCTCCGTGCTCCTTAGGTCATTACTTATGTCGTTCTGTTTGAATATTTAAGGACATTTATTCGCTGTCCTGTTATGCCATTATGTCACACAGGACACACAGTCAATTCTCTATTCAGTTCTATCTTGGGCAATCCCTTTGATGTCATGGGTGAGTTTTAATCAATTACCTTTGGCCTCTCTCATCAGCGTTCGTTTTAAGGTTTATTTTGAACGTCCCAATTTCTTAAGTCCCTTTATTTCCAATTGTATCGCCAGTTTGATGATTCTCTGCTGGTTTCTGCTCAGGGTATGTCCAGTATAGCGCCATCTTCTTTGTCTGTTAACTGTGATATACAATGTAAATTGCTTTTAATATTATCAGTCCATCTTCTCCTTGTGTATCCTCCTGCTGTCCCAGACGATTGTTCCGGGATTTAGCATCTGCAATGAGGCTGCATTCTCACGATATGACCAAACCATTTTAGTGTCTGCTTCTATGTGAATTTGTGCAATATTGTTCCCACAGTGGTTCATTTCTCACACAGTGTTGGATAGTTTTTAAATGCACCAGCACTCTGATATCTTGTTTCGAATTCCGGATTTGTTCTTCGGTTCATCACCGAATATACATTCTTCTTCTTCGCTTCCTCTTTTACCGCTGTGGGTGTCGAGGGAGATATAAGGTTCTGTTTCTAGCTCTTCTGGCTGCCTCGACCATAGGCACATCGTGCTGTTGTAGAGTTTCTCTGATGTTATCCTTCCATATTGTTCTTGGTCTACCCCGTGCTCTACGTCCTTCTTCTCTTTCCATGTATGCTTTGTATGGTATGGTGTCACAAGGCATTCTCTCTAAGTGGGCAAACCATTTCACTTGCTGTCTTTGTATGTAATCCAAAATTGGTTCTGTGCCGACTTGTTCTCTTATGATCTCATTCTTGATCTAATCTCTTATGGTCACTCCTACAGCCCTTCTCAGACATCTCATTTCCGTGGTTAATAATTTTCTTTTATGGTTTGTTGTGAGTGACCATGTCTAGCACTGGTAGCACAGAGTTGGAATAAATATGCTTTGAATAAGATGTGAATATACATTCAAGATTTTTAAATCTTTAGACTGTTTGCGACAAGTGACACTTAACCAATTTAGGAAGGAAACTCAGTAAGAAAGTCACAAATGTTTGTCTAAAAAAAAACAATAACAACCTAAAAACCGTTTACTTTTACAAATACACTGCCCCTTTATTTTCAAAATAATTGCCACTAACAGTACAAAACGATTCTAGTTGTTTTTGTCTCAGCTTTTCTCAACGTGTGTCTTATCCAATGCCAGCATCTTGTCTTATCCAATGCCAGCATCTTGTCTTATCCAATGCCAGCATCTTGTCTTATCCAATGCCAGCATCTTGTCATCCAATGCAAGCATCTTGTCTTATCCAATGCAAGCATCTTGTCTTATCCAATGCCAGCATCTTGTCTTATTCAATGCCAGCTTCTTGTCTCATCCAATGCCAGCATCTTGTCTTATCCAATGCCAGCATCTTGTCTTATCCAATGCCAGCATCTTGTCTTATCCAATGCCAGCATCTTGTCTTATCCAATGCCAGCATCTTGTCTTATCCAGTGCAAGCATCTTGTCTTATCCAATGCCAGCATCTTGTCTTATCCAATGCCAGCATCTTGTCTTATTCAATGCCAGCTTCTTGTCTCATCCAATGCCAGCATCTTGTCTTATCCAATGCCAGCATCTTGTCTTATCCAATGCCAGCATCTTGTCTTATCCAATGCCAGCATCTTGTCTTATCCAATGCCAGCATCTTGTCTTATCCAATGCTAGCATCTTGTCTTATCCAATGCCATCATCTTGTCTTATCCAATGCCAGCATCTTGTCTTATCCAATGCCAGCATCTTGTCTTATCTAATGCCAGCATCTTGTCTTATCCAATGCCAGCATCTTGTCTTATCCAATGCCAGCATCTTGTCTTATCCAATGCTAGCATCTTGTCTTATCCAATGCCAGCATCTTGTCTTATCCAATGACAGCATCTTGTCTTATCCAATGCCAGCATCTTGTCTTATCCAATGCCAGCATCTTTTCTTCACCACTTGGTCCACTAGAACTTGGTTAGTTCTCGCATTAGAGTCTCTGTCATACCATTTTACTTTCTCTGTTCTGCACCGGGCCCAGTAAGTGAATATTTGCAGTGTATTAGTAACTATAAATAACTTCAGATAAATTAATAAAACTATGCCCGTCAAAAAGTTTTTCCCTAGAAAACAATGTATCGACAAACTAACAAGATGTTTCGGAGACAACTTGTGACGTTTGGTTGGGACACCGTTTATTCCCGAATAAACCATGAGTGCCTTAGAGACAACTTGTGACGGAACTAACCACGGCAGGTGGCAGACAACTTGTGATGCACAGCTGTCTGAAACGCAACTTGTGACGGAACTAACCAAGGCAGCTGACACACAACTTGTGATGCACAGCATTCTGAAAGACAACTAGTGACGGAACTAACCAAGGCAACTGACACACAACTTGTGATGCACAGCTGTCTGAAAGGCAACTTGTGATGGAACTAACCAGGACAGCTGACACACAACGTGGTATGCACAGCTGTCTGAAAGACAATTTGTGACGGAACTAACAACGGCAGGTGGCAGACAACTTGTGATGCACAGATGTCTGAAAGACAACTAGTGACGGAACTAACCAAGGCAGCTGACACACAACTTGTGATGCACAGCTGTCTGAAAGGCAACTTGTGAAGGAACTAACCAAGGCAGCTGACACACAACGTATGATGCACAGCTGTCTGAAAGGCAACTTGTGACGGAACTAACTACGGCAGCTAACACACAACGTGTGATGCACAGATGTCTGAAAGACAACTTGTGACGGAACTAACCACGGCAGATGACACACAACGTATGATGCACAGCTGTCTGAAAGGCAACTTGTGAGGGAACTAACCACGGCAGCTAACACACCTTTTGATGCACGGATGTCTGAAAGACAACTTGTGACGGAACTAACCACGGCAGCTGACACACAACTTGTGATGCACAGCTGTCTGAAAGGCAACTTGTGACGGAACTAACCACGGCAGCTGACACACAACTTGTGATGCACAGCTGTCTGAAAGACAACTTGTGACGGAACTAACCACGGCAGCTGACACACAACTTGTGATGCACAGCTGTCTGAAAGGCAACGTGTGACGGAACTACCCACGGCAGCTAACACTAAAAGACAACTTGTGACGCACGGCTGTCTGAAAGACAACTTTTGACTGACGTCTGTCCTAAAGACAACTTGTGACGGAACAAACCACAGCAGCTTGTGAGGCAACTTACCGCTGCAGCTCAGCCTGGGTTGAATGACGCCTTCCAGACTGGGAAGATCCAAGAATGTAACTCGCACGTGCAGTCGTCCGCGTGCAATCTGCTTCCGGTGTCGTTTGGACAGTCTCCAAGATCCCGAAAGGATACCAGTCTAAATACAAGAACAACAGTTTAATACAACATCACCAACAGCAACAACAACAATAATTCTATAGAAAAAAAAAATCAATTGCTACTGCCACCGTCTTCTTCTGCTGCTGCTGCTGCTGGTTCTGCTTCTGCTGCTTCTGCTTCTTCTTCTTCTTCTTCTTCTTCTTCTTCTTCTTCTTCTTCTTCTTCTTCTTCTTCTTCTTCTTCTTCTTCTTCTTCTTTTTCTTCTTCTTTCTTTGTCTTCGTCTAACATCATAGGCATTAACACACAGGACGTGACACTGTTGACACTTACCGTGGCCACCATAGAGCCTCCAGTCTGGTAGACAACGTTAGATCCTTTCAGCACGGCCACGTGAAAACTGCCCCTTTTCCCTGTCAGAAAATATGTGTTTACAGCTACTTATGTTTACTTGTAACATGGGCCCTATTCACGTTTCCCGGCCTATTTACACACTGGCTGACTTTTTTATTCATGCTTTCTTAGATTGCTCTACGTCAGAGGGGTGTCATGTTGTCGTGCCCCCAGTAACATCAGCGCCTATGTCGCCTGTTCTACAATACACGACGAGATAACTTTTAACGAACATAGAACATCTAGAACTGCCCCTAACCCAAAACCCTATATCCACAGCTCGAGTCTAGATCCTACGAGAGGCTCTTTTAGAAAAAAAGCAGAAAAAGGTGACACCGCCTCCCCCTCCGATCCAACCCAGATTGAGAAAGTGTGTACATGGGTCAGGAAACGTGAATAGGACCGTAACTTATTATCAGTAACCATATATTGAGCACACTGGTTCGACCCATTCGTGCTCTGCTCTATAAAACAGCAGTAATCTCAGTCTTCGTGCTCACAGTACCTAGTAGTAGGTAAAAGTAAAGGACATTTTTTCGCGTCTTCAAGAGACACCCCAGTAGTCTGTATTTGATATATACTTGCACTGCCTACTTTTGTTGATAGGCTCAAAGTTCTGCAAGCAAAGTCATATCTAGGATTAGCTGCAGAGAAGAAGTACTTCCTACATGAAGCACTGGGTAGAGCTAAGGGTCACAGACTGAAAAGATGAAAGTCTTGGATGGCGCAAGCTGAAGAAACAATTGGACATGTGTGCAGGCTTGATAAATTTAAGCGAGGACAGGAGGTAGTCAAAGTGTCTGAGCGAGTTTCAGACTTGTGTAGAGTTTATATCACGTTGAGTCGTGGGACTGGGTCGTGAGTTGCGAGTGCAGGGACTGGCCAACTGGTGCTGTAGAAACAGAAGTTCAACAAATGATTCATGACAATTCTTGCCTAAATGATGTGATTATCTATACAGATGGCTCTGTGTTGAGGGGCAGACGAAGTAAACGGAGCAAAAGCGAATGGACGTCGCTTGGTGCAGCAAAGCCTGGCACGTGATATAACAACGTCTAGTTTGAGAATGGAGGTGGAGGCAGTCACTGCTGCCTTCCGCTGGCTTGAGAATTAGCTGTACACATATGCCGTGATAGTAACTGAATCGCAGAGCATATTGAGAAAGGTGAAGACATGCATGCTCCGTGCAGAGTGGCAAGCATCACTTCAAAGGTCCCGGGCAGTTAGCATCCTTTGGATATTTTCTTCAGGTTATACCGGTGTGTTGGAAAATGAGCAGACAGATAGACTGGTCAGTTCTACACCACTTGGTAGTGAACTGATATATGACAAGCTAGATGCGTTGCAAGGGCCCTTTGGGAGTGAGTGAACAGTGCGGATTACGACCTTGAGGGCACTAACAAGTATACTGACTGACTGACTTTCTACCCCACCAGGACATCACACAAGCGATAAACACCCGATGACACAAAGTGCCACCATGCGGATGAGAATCGCCGTGGAGAGGTCCCAGAAACCGCGTTCAGACAATTGGCCATATTGATGGCCTGCCTATATTGCGGCCCCTGGCAAAAGCCAGAGTGGGGCTTCAAATAACAAAAAATTACATCCTAAGAAGGACGTAAGTGGATATGATTACTAACAAGTATGAAGGGACATAATCAGAAATGTTAAATAGGCAATTATTAGTATTGGTAATTTCCCTTTAAGTGTCTTTCATTTGATTACTATCGTCAGGTTTGACTCTCAGACTAAAACATCTAAACCTGGATGACAGACCAGGTGGGAAAATCCAGCATACCCCTTTCAGCTTCGAAACAATTTGTAACTGCTGCATCGTTAACGGCCTCATCAGCTCGTCCTGTGTGGATAACTATAGTATTTTCGTCTCTTTGGTTATTAGTAATCTGATAGAACACAGTGGGATACTGAAAAGAATATTTATCACACCAGTCTTCGCAATGGTCAGTTTCCGAAAACTTAGATGGCTGGGTCACACTTGGAGAATGGAGGATGATAGAGTCCCTAGGGACAGCCCCTATGGTGAATTACAGATGGGTACAAGACGTCGAGGTCGTCTTTTCCTAATATATAAAGATTGTGCAAATGGGGCATGAATGATACAGGTATCGAGGTAGATTTGTTGGAACGAAATGCTATGCACCGTACTGTGTGGATGAAGAAATCAGGAAGGAATAAGAATAAAGGAGGGGAGAAAAAAACAACAGCAGCTAGCTTGAGAGCCGAGCGTCTACAGTTGAAGGTTGAAGTCGAGACTGCTTTTATCCCATAAGCTCAGTTTCTCTCAGCAGAGCGACATGATGCCTTTCGAAAGCGTCGCACAAAGTACGAACTCCGTAGCTCCAGTGATGGTACCCGGGGATCTCCGTAAAAATAGCAAAGAACTGCACTAAATGCATTTAATGGCGACACTCGTTTAGACAATCCCCTGCTCTAATGGCGGAATACTTTTCTTAACTCGGGCGGGTCTTGATAGTCACACTCGCCATCGCCACGGGCAGTTACGCCCATGCCTCCTCCCTTTAGTACAGTATAACAGTATATTACTATCGGCTGGAAAAACGGAAATATTCCAACAACAACAAAAACTAATTAATACAAATCTGTCTATATGGCATGTATAAGAGCTATTATAAGTACGAGTCGACACGAGGTAGTTACAGACTGACTGACTTTCTACCCCACCAGGACATCACACAAGCGATAAACACCCGATGACACAATGTGCCACCATGTGGATGAGGATCCCCGTGAAGAGGTCCCAGAAACCGCGTTCAGCTATTAGGCCATATTTATGGCCGGGCTATACTGCGGCCCCTGGCATAAGCTAGAGTAGGACTTCAAATAACGACAAATTTCATCCTAAAAAGGACGGCAAGATGTTACTATTAAGGTAGTTACATGAAGCCCCGACGCCATCCAGAGTCTAGACAACAGCAACAACTAATGAACACAAATCTGTCTATAGGGCATGTATAAGCTATTATAAACACAACAGAGTCGACAAGAGATAGTTACATGAACCCCTGACGCCATCCAGAGTCGTCGTGTAGGAAAGTAGCCTCGTTTCAGGGGCGTAGTTAATCAACATGGAGCCGCCACTTCCGTCAGCTCTGGCAGACGTTAAAATGGCGCTGAATGTCTCTGTGGTAAAATGTGAGAAAAAACGTCAGAAACAGAAAACATTATTACCATATAAAACCTGCGAACTAAAAGTTTCCTAACTTTAATAACATACATTCTTCATTTTATATAAATTTATTGTTTTCCTTGTCTTAGTCTGTCTGCTCACGCAGTGTGATGTATCTGATATCTGACTGTAGCATGTGCCAACATTAGATACAGCTTCAACGAAGAAAGCTTATAATTCCCCGGATAGCCCAAACGAGGAATCTAGAAATTCTTCTTCTTCTTTTTTTTTTCTTCGTTTACCGGTTGTAAGCTCTAGCGGAAATTCCTGGTTAACCGTCCATTTGGACTTAAGCTTTGTGCCAGGGTCTGCGTCTGTACATCCGTTTTACTGGCTTATACGTGTGCCGTTGTCGGTTCCTAGCAGCTCGGGCAGATGCACTCCTACTTCGAAGGAAGTTCCCAGTTCGTCGACTCCTACGAGATCAAGATATTCTAAAAGAGATTCGGATTCAGAACTTACCACAAACACCAGAAAGAGACAGCCATAGTTTCTTCTTGTTGCTTCAATGTAAGATGATGAAAACTAGATCGTGTTGTGACAACAGAAAAGATTAACGAAAAAAGATCTTGAAAAAGACAGCGGAGAAAGGTTGTCAACATCCTTTTGTTGAGGAAAATAAAGGTGTCAGGACATGAAATGTGTACATCTTGATGTACACAGTAAGATATGGAAAGCAATCTCCTGGTCTTGTAAGCCATTTTCAAAGACTGATTCTTTTCGATTGGCATCCTCCTCTTCTTTTCCCTAAATCCTGGCTGACTTCTTTTTCTTCTTCTACCTAGACACTGTTTCGTCTTTCCGCGTCAGGTTTTGAAGGGGCATCGGGTGCGAGCCCAGCTATGTGCTATGTTGATGCTGATATTCACGGTCTGTGATATTTTGTCTATGCATCGTTTACGTGGTCGACCTCTTGATCTGCTTCTGAGGTATCTGAGGGAGATGGCTCTCTACGATGCACTGTCTTGTGGTAGTCGTGAGAGAGATCCGAACCATTTGATTTGTTGCCTTTAATAAAATTTAGCGGTAAAGCTCACAAAAGTCACATCATCTTGTCAGCCCCTAGAATGCATAGGGAATTTCCCGGCACACTCCTGGTTACTACTACTACTAATACTACTACTACCACCACCAACGCGGTTGCTGCTGCTACTACTACCACCACTATTTCTGCTAGTGCGGCTACTACTACTACTACCACTATTTCTGCTGCTGTTGCTAAAGCTACAGATGTATTTTAATTGCTGGTTGTTTCAGCCTCTTTGCTTTATCGCGCCATCAAGTGTTTGCTCTCACTGAGCAAGCTCTAATAATCTTAGCCCCTGAACCCAAGACTGAAATAACCGCAGCTGCGTGGATCAAAGCAGCAGCAACTAGATGGAACAAAGCAGCAGCAACTAGATGGAACAAAGAAGCAGCAACTAGATGGAACAAAGCAGCGGCAACTAGATGGAACAAAGAAGCAGCAACTAGATGGAACAAAGCAGCGGCAACTAGATGGAACAAAGAAGCAGCAACTAGATGGAACAAATCAACGGCAACTAGATGGAACAAAGAAGCAGCAACTAGATGGAACAAAGCAGCGGCAACTAGATGGACCACAACAGCAGTAACTAAACGGACTAAAACAGCAGCGACTAGACGGATCAAAACACCAGCCTTCCTGAGATTATGAGACCGGAACCTATAGGTCTAGGTATCTAGACCCCCTCCCCCCCCCCCTTTTTTTCCCCCAAATACCTTTTATAACCTGTAGAAAAATTAATTAAAAAAAATACTGAAGGTCCATTAAGGAGTATTGGGCATGTACTGTTCGTTCGTGGCTAAGGCGTTGCGAGTCCGACTCGTAAGCCAGCATACAGCGATCGAAACCCACTGCAAGCTGCGTGGATTGTTATCATGGTATGGGACGTCGCAGGTCGACCCAGCCTAAAATGGGTACCAGGATGGGCTGTCCTGGGAAAGTAAAGACAGCCGGCGTAATGCTGACCACATTACCCACGGAGTGCTGATGGTCTGTAAAAATATGGGAGGCTCTGCCCATATGCCCGATGCGCGAAAAAGGGATCTTTACTTTACTTTTTTTACTGTTTGACCTACTTTTTTTTCCAATAGACTAATCTGCACGCGGTGGGTGATATGGTCAGTACCACGCCAGCCGCCTTCCCTACGCCCCTTTCCCCCCTCTCCACCACAACCATGCATAGCAATTCGGTTTAAGTCTTTACATGTCAGATCTTTTTTCAAATATGTTTATTATAACTAATTAAGCACTCGAATAAACCTCAAGTCCCTTGAAAAGGTGGGGGCCGGGGGGGGGGGGGGGGGGGGGTCCTATTCGTTGGAAAAGTTTTAATTCTGGGTTGGTCGTCCCATCCTACTTTCCTTGTGTTTTCATTACGTAGGCGCCCCTGCCTGGAATAATGTGTTAATTCTCGAGCTGTGCTAGGAACGAGGGGGGCCTCAACACCTTCCCTCCCCAGCGGAGAGAGGCCAGTTGCCAGAACATCACTGGAATTACGAACCTCATTCGCGGATCCTTCAAGTAGTTGGGGGCGTAAGCAATAAGAACGGTGATGACATTTCTTTTCATACTCCAAATAAAACAACCACCCTCGCAACTGACACAGCGTGTTTCTGCCTCTTAACATTAACCCGTACCGGTGCGCACAGGAGAATTAACAGGCGTGAAAATGTCTGTTGAAGCGTTACATTTCCTCTCCTTGACATTCATTGCGACTCTTTGAAAGTTGTGTCTACAGTCGCAGTTACTTGTGAGACGGAGACTTTTAACACTTCTGAAATAAAGAGATCTATAAAGCTAAAGCAAACAAGACGGGGTGTGTCGGTGGGTCCAAATTGTATCCACGGGCGCAGTGGGTATATGGGCGCCGGCTTGTTTTGTCCCAGGGCTGCGACACTGCGTCGGGGGTTCTCAGAATCTGAGGGAAAGGTACCACCTGTTCATGGTCCTGTGACCTATTGGTAATCTAGTGCTGCTGCTACCACTATTAAAACTGTTACTACTGCTGATTTTGCTGCAACTACTACTACTACTACTACTACTACTACTACTACTACTACTACTACTACTACTACTACTACTACTACTACTACTACTACTACTACTACTACTACTACTATTACTACAATTACTACTACTACTACTACTTCTTCTTCTACTACTACTACTACTACTACTACTACTACTACTACTACTACTACTACTACTACTACTACTACTACTACTACTACTACTACTACTACTACTACTACTACTACTACTACAACAACAACTGCTACAACTATTACTACCACTACTACTATTATTACTACTACTACTGCTACTAATACAATTACTGTTACTACCATTACTATTGCTACTACTGCTGCCACTGCTGCTGCTGCTACTACTACTACTACTACTACTACTACTACTACTACTACTACTACTACTACTACTACTACTACGTCTACTGCTGCTACTGTTGCTTCTGCTAAAACTGATAATGATGAAAGCGATTATGCTAAAAAACGTAGTAAAATTAAAAACGCTAAATGTCATGCCGAATTCTCAAATTCCATGATGATCAAATGTTCAGTACAGCGACATCAAATGTTATGTTATAAAAATCTACGCCACTACACACTGGAAATTCCCATGCGTGCTCTGTCCTCCGATGCAGCAGCCACTCCAATGTACTTCTACTATTGTTCATATGAGAAGTTGGTTATATTGCATTCTATCTCGGCCTCGAAGACGGCATAGACGTGCTTCACCGCGCTTTACTCACATGTCACGCAACAGTGTTAGTGTCAGAGATTCGTTCTTATCCAGTAACCTTGTTCGTACAGTGTTGACGATATCTGCTCTGTCCATGCTTTTTCCCGCAATCCTTAGTGCAGTGCTTGCGCAGTTGGTCCGCTCGCTCATTTCCCTTTACCCCCGCATGACCATGTGTGTAGATCCAGGTGAGGGAGGTTAAGTGCGATTTTCGAATGCTCTCTACCCATTCAGAGCGCATACCGCCTGTTGCTATCTTCTGAAACATGTTCATGGAATCTGCCTGTGTGGCGGTTTGCTTATCCATTATACGATGACGAGAAGAAAAAGAAGAAGAAGAAGAAGAAGAAGAAGAAGAAGAAGAAGAAGAAGAAGAAGAAGAAGAAGAAGAAGAAGAAGAAGAAGAAGAAGAAGAAGAAGAAGAAGAAGAGGTGATGGAGAAGAACAAGCTGTATTAAATTGTAGCAGTGACGATGGTGAGCACAACTCTGGCAAGAGCATTGTGGTGGCTATATTTATAATACAGTAGAGACCGTTTAAGGCAATCTCGGATGTGGCGAATTTCTGTGTTGAACAATTTATCCCCGGCAATTTATCATACTTCAACTGTTTTTCAGATAAGAAGAATTTCTGTTGAGAAGAACACTTTGCTGTGTCACTGGTGAGTTCCCCTTATCAGGTCTGCACCTACACTGTGTTTTCCGTGGTTGTTGTTGCTGCTGTTGCTGTGGCAGCCGTTGTTGATGTTCAGGTTATAGACACTACCAAATGGTAAAATAAAAGACTCCGCGAAGAATGTGAGACTCCTTGCAAAGCAACATGAATATTAAGTGTAACTTCCAGAGCTAAGTGTTTTCAATGAATGAATTGGGAAATTCGGCACGGGACAATATTGCTACCCAGTGACGTCATAACCTTTTATGGCGTCATATGGTAAAAAATCTGCTGCCTCCCCAGTTCTCAATCAGAATTGTCTGGGCTCCAAAGATCCTAAGTAGACAGGGCTGATTTTTGGCTGTACATAACGGTCCGCATCACCGGCACATTCTTTTTAGGCATCTTCTTTTTCAGCACTTCTCTCACAGACATATTATGACGTGTACCGGCACCTGCTGTTGGACACTGTGGGAATTACGTCCCCCTTTCCTTTTAGGAAAAAGCCTGTGTAGTGGTAGATGCAATTGTAGTGGTAGTTGTAGTTGTTATTGCATTTGTAGTCGTAATAGTAGTAGTAGTAGTAGTAGTAGTAGTAGTAGTAGTAGTAGTAGTAGTAGTAGTAGTAGTAGTAGTAGTAGTAGTAGTAGTAGTAGTAGTAGTAGTAGATGTAGTAGTAATGATTGTGGTAGTTAGAAAGTTAGTTGCGTTTCCTTTACAGGACGTTGCAGAACCAACCCCTTCATTTTTCGGCTGTTGTGGGGTTTTCCCAGCAAATTTTACGTTCAGTAGTTTGCCATTGCTTTCTTGACGGTCAGCTTTCGGTACATCTGTTGAAACCAATGTAAGACAAACCCTCCACAGCGTGGATCGAACTTGACACCCTGGCATTACGAAGCGTGTTCGCAACGCCTAAGCCACAGAATGGTAGTAGCAGTGATAGTAATAGTAGCAGAAATGTTTTATTATTATTATTATTATTATTATTGTTGTTGTAGTTGTTGTCAGCTGTGCTTGTCGGAGTAAGAGGCGCACTTTCCAGGCTCATATTGGACTAATCAGCCTTTTTCGTACACATAATCAGTGATCATTACTACTTTGGATAAAAGCGGTCTTCATCACTTGTAATGGACGAACAACAGGCGCACTAATAGTAGTAGTAACAGCAAAATTATTCGTAGTAGCGGCAATTGTAGTAGTAGTAGTGGTGGTGGTGGTGGTGGTGGTAGTAGTAGTACCAGTAGCAGCAGCTGCAGGAATAGCAGCAGTAATAGTAGCAGCAGTAGCAGCAGAAATAGAAGTAGTAGATGCAGTAGCAGCAGAAGATATTGTAGTGTAGCAGCAACAGTAGAAGTATTAGTAGTAGCAGCGGCGGCAATAGTAGTAGTTACTGTAGTAGTAGACGAGGATTTAGTTATAATGTTATCTTGGCTTCCCCTTCAGGCAACGTCGTGTCATTAGAATTCACCGTCGTTATCATCATCATCATCATGATCGTATCATTTTAATTATCATCATAATTAGCGCCATCCATACCCTGTGAAATGACCGTTTGAAACGGAAAGCTGTCACTTCAGCTGCCCTATGTCAGCAATCTTGGTGTCAACGTGTGACGTTCCATCGCGGTTGTTTATGTGAGTATTCACCCTCTCTCCTTCCCAGCTGTCGATGCCAGTCTTAATTTTATCGGACATTCCCCGCTTATCTCCACGCGCGACGAAGCGAGGCGGTAACCGCCCTTCCACTCGACCTTAAGGACCACCCGTCTTGATCAATATACCAGGTGGAAGCTTTAGGGTCCTTCAGTGACCCCGACACAGTGTTAATCCCCTGTTTAGTATAAATCAACACCCATTGTTCCCCCGCAGGGTCCAGCCATCTCCAGCTGACAACTGGATCGCGACCCATCAACACCTGATTCAGCCACGCCCCACACGATGCCGGTGCGGCCACAACAATACACCCAATCACATTTGTCAAGCCTTGACACTGATATCGTTATCCACTTACCTTTATTGGCTGGAGATTTCGGGGTAATTTTACCGGACACAATTCCGTGTGGGTACCGAGAGGTGGTAATTGTTGCGTAGAGTTTCTCTTGTCTGAAATACTTGAGGTAAAACCCAGGTATCTTGGTCCATGCTCCGCACACCTGGACAATCCAAAGGTAAACACTTTAAGTGGGGATCAGAACCGATAACGCACAGATTACACATAAACCTGATCAGGTGTGGAGCCGATATTTACAAAACCTATTGGCATGGTCAGTATTTCAACCATCAGGGTTTCTGTCTTGCCAGAAGTTTGGCACAAGTAAATGGCCCTTTTCAGGCTTGTAACCCATCTGTCAGATGAGGATGGATTCATAATTTGTATAGATCAATCAGCACTAGATGTGTGATCTTTGCCTGCCAGTAAATTAATTGGTTCCCATCCAGGACTTGGTCGACCTGGGGGAGGAAGATATTCTTGTTCTTCTTCATTCTCCATGTTCACCAGCTGCAAACTCCAGCGGAAAGTTCTGGCTGTTCGTCCACTTCAGGACTTTAGTCTTGTTCCAGAACCTGAGTGTTGCAGATCTGATTCTTTTGTATGCAGACTGTTGGTTACTTGCCTCTTGGACAGATGCACTCTGACTTCGAAAAAAGCCCCAGATTAGTCTACTCTTACGACATGCTTGTTGTGGAGTCAGTGAGTCTATTATTGTTTTCCCCATAAAAATCGTTCTCTCCCCTGTTCTAAATTCTCCCAGATTCGAATCTAAAACTTTCAGTCCGGCTAGCGAGCGTCCAGCAATCACGCCACCGAGGCTCCCCAAATGCTTCATGCTCATGTCTAGGGCGTGTTGCTGAAATATTTGCGGACAGTTGAAACAGTTGATGGAAAAGGCCACCTTAAATTAGGAACAGATATGCCTGACAAACTGGCGTGATGCTGACTACATCACCCACCAAGTGCCGATTGGTCTATAAAATAGAGGTCTAGCCCTATTTGCCCAATATGTTTGAAGGCGTGGAAGAAAGTCCTTTACTTTTTGTATTTATGCCAAGCGAAGGTGGCCTTTCAGAAGATGAAATCTGGACCTGTTCACATTTCCCGGCCCATCTACAAACTTTCTCAGTCTGATCTAGGCCAGAGGGGTGTCACGTTGTACTGTTTTCTTCAAAAAGAGTCTCTCGTGGGACCTAGGCTCAAACCGTGGGTGAAAAGGGGGGGGGGTGGGTGGGTGGGTTAGGACCAGTTCTAGATGTTCTGTGGTCGTTGAAAGCTGTGTCGTCGGGTAGCATAGAATACGCGACATCAGCACTGATGCTATTGGAGGCAAGACAACGTAACACCCCTCTGACCTAAAACAGTCTGAGAAAATATGAATGAAAGGTCAGACAGTGTGTAAATGGGGCGGGAAACGTGAACAGGGTCTGAAATTGTGTATGCAACAAGACTCTCTAAGTAAACTGTGGACGGAGTACTGAAATGTAATCGTAAACAATATTGCATTGTGTCTGTAAATCTTGGAATGTAAGTGAAAAAAAAAAAAAATTTGGAAGAGCTTGAAGGCGGTGGAGATGTAGTTTCTGAAACACATGCTGCGGATACCGCGGACAGACAGAGGAACTAACAACGAATACCTGTAAATGACTAAAGCAATGAGAAAACTATATACATCTAGAAGAAAGAGAGGCAGACAGTGTTTTTCAGTCATTTGATGAGAAAAGAGGCCGCCCAGAAGATTGTGACAACCGGAGAGGTCCGCGGTGGCGGAGGCAGACCAAGAGAGACGACGAGTGACGATCTGAAGAGATGGGATGGTGAAATGTCATCAGTTCAACTGATTCAAAAATACCAAGGACCGAGATCTAAGGAGGGATACGACCGCCTTAGTCTTAGTCGAGGTTTTAACTTCACTGTAAACTGGGATAACAAACTGCAAAACGCGCACGCCCCTCCCCCTCCCCCAACATATATTGAAGAACATTTTAGCACCCAAGGCACACGAAATGTTTTTGCTCATAGAAAGAGAGCCCATTTCCCATCAATCTCAATAGTTTAGGTCAATCGAAGAAAAAAAAAAGAGAGAGAGAAGAAGGCCGAAGAGCAAGAGGTAAACCAAGAACAAAATGGAAAGATAACATCATAGAAAATCCACAGCACCACGATGTGTCTATGGTCGAAGCAGCCAGAAGAGCACGAAGCAGGACCTTATACCTCCCTCGACATCCAAACTAGTAAAAGAGGACGTAAAGCGAGAAGAGACAAAACAACTTTGTTTAAACCTTGGCGCGCGCGCGCGCACACACACACACACATACACGCACACACAAGAAAGAAAAATATATACTCGCATTCACTTAGAATGTATAAACATTAATGGTGAGATAGCGGGCTGCTTGGTCTCGAGGTATGGAGTCCGCCTGGAATGCTAGAGGAGCCGGGTTCAATCCCCGGTAAGAGCTGGGATTTTTTCACGTGGACTTGGACTTCTAGTAATTCCCCCCTGGTCTCTGGGCAGTGAGATTAGACGTCCGTGTGCATTGTGGCGGACTTTAAAAAATCCCATTTCAGGAACCTCGCTGGTGCTACAGAGCTTGTGCATTGTGCTGAGCTTTTTTGGACTTAGACTTGTGTTAGAAGAAGAACGGAGCACTTATGGATGCCATAATGATGTGTCATGATGTTGTGCCATGATGTTGATGTTATGCCATAATGTTGTGCCATGATGTTGATCCTTTGTTCAAACCTCAAACCTGGTAGTGAGATACTATTTCACTGACAAAATGAAACAGAAAGAGGTCAAAAACGATTACCTACCTTTTTGTCCCCTTTCAAATCTCTTCTTATCGACTTCTCAAAAAGAACACTCCCATGAATATCTTGGAGAATGAAGGATTGTGGTCGCTCTAGCCTGGAGTATCTTAATGCGAACTGGATCCTGCCTTTGACCACCTGAATAAGGGCCGCTGCTGCAGCTCGAGTTTTGACAGGTCCTGCCAGGACCTGACGCCCCACAAGAAGGGCCTGGAACTCTACCAGAAATATATTAATACAATCAACGGGCAGGGTCTTTGATCAAAGCAATATAGGTTAGTTGCGTATCCTTTACAGGACGTTGCCGAACCAACTCCAACAGCCCCCTGGCTGTTGTGTGGGCTTTCTAGGCAAATTTACGTCCAGTAGTTTGTCATTACTCCTGGACGGTCGGCTTTCTTGATACCACTGTTGAAACCAACGCAAGGCGCGTGGCCCGCAGCTGGGATCGAACCCGGCATTCCTGCATTACGAAGCGTTGGCATCGACTTAGCCACACAGCCGACGGTCAAAGCAATACAAAGAGACACAACCCAAGACATTTACAGTCAGTTACTGATTACAATTTACAGTATAGTAACAGTCACGCAGAAATTACAGTGATGCTAACAAATTTAAGACCATCTAATAAATTATTAATTTGTCCACACTAGAATAGTAAGTAAAAGTAAAGGACCATTTCCACGCCTTTAGGCATATAGGGCATATAGGGCTAGACCTATATTTTTATAGACGAATCGGCACAAGATGGGTGATGTGGTCAGCATCACGCCGTCCGGCTTTACTTCCCGGGACTGCACCCGGTACCCACTCAAGCTGGGTCGACCTGGGAGCCAAGGTCATTTAAAAAAAAAATCCGGCTCCGCCAGGGAGCGATCCAAGGACTTTGTCCACACTAGTACCTAGTATACATGTCATCGCTGTGGGACAAAATAAAAGCTTTTGAACTGAAATGTTAAAAACAAATTCTTAGAAGACCATGGCCTAAAAAGAAGAAAAACACCGACATCCTACATGAGTATGGAGGAGAATTGCCTCATAAACAGCATCCTGTCCCGAAAACTGTGGTATCTTTTTCCTTGTTATCAGAGGTTGTGGACTACGATGACTACCCACGCCAAATGGCATAAACATAGACTATAAGGGAAATAATTCTAAAACAGCCACATGTGACCCTGAATATAACCACCAACTTTTGTGGTTGTGTAAAGTTGTTATGAAGACTAACTGACTGTATAAAATAATTTGACAGTTGTGAAACCGGGCATCAAGAGCAATGATGATACAGATGCGCACAAGGTCATGTTTTGTTGTGGGGGTTCAAAGACCGACAAGTTGACAACTACGGGAACCTAGCGGTCAGTTGAGTTGGCTGCCAGGATGTTTACAGTTAGCTCGTGGATGTGTGCACATTCAGTGTGGTGCATATCACACACGTACTTAGTAAGCAGAGACATCTTTTTCTTGCCGCCAATAGTACAACGGGTATATGTGGTGCCATTCTGTGTCACATAGGGCTTGAAGTCTGTTCACCTATTCCGTTCTGCCCGGTGCAATCAGTTCGATATCTTGGGTGGAATTAACTCCAGCGCCTTTGGCTTTTCTCACCAATAAACCACACAACCAACACACCAGTCAACCACCAGACCAACAGAGCAACCATCCTTCCATCCAACATTCGACAAGCCTTCTGACCAACCCAGTAGAAAATAAATTAACAAAGTAAGCAAACTAATCAACCAGCCAACCAATCAACCAGCCAACCAATAAATCGGCCAACCATTTATCCAACCAACCGATCAACTAGCCAACCAATCAACCAACCATTCAACCAGGGAACCAATCAACCAGCCAACCAATCAACCAGCCAACCAATAAATCGGCCAACCATTTATCCAACCAACCATTCAACCAACCCACCATTCAACCAGCCAACCATTTATCCAACCCACCATTCAACCAGCCAGCCATTTATCCAACCCACCATTCAACCAGCCAACCATTTGTCCAACCAACCATTCAACCAGCCAACCATTTGTCCAACCAACCATTCAGTCAGATAACCAACCAATCAACCAGCCAACCATTCAACCAGCCAACCATTTATCCAACCAACCATTCAACCAGCCAACCATTTATCCAACCAACCATTCATTCAACCAACCAATCAACCAGTCAACCATTTATCCAACCCACCATTCAACCAGCCAACCAACCAATCAACCAGCCAACCATTTATCCAACCAACCATTCAACCAGCCAGCCATTTATCCAACCAACCATTCAACCAGCCAACCATTTATCCAACCCAATATTCAACCAGCCAACCAACCAATCAACCAGCCAACCATTTATCCAACCAACCATTCAACCAGCCAGCCATTTATCCAACCAACCATTCAACCAGCCAACCATTTATCCAACCCAATATTCAACCAGCCAACCAACCAATCAACCAGCCAACCATTCAACCAGCTAACCATTTATCCAACCAACCATTCAACCAGCCAACCATTCAACCATTCAACAAGCCAACCATTCAACCAACCCACCATTCAACCAACCAACCATTCAACCAGCCAACCATTCAGTCAGCCAACAATTCAACCAGCTAACCATTTATCCAACCAACCATTCAACCAGCCAACCATTCAACCAACCAACCATTCAACCAACCAACCATTCAACCAACCAACCATTCAACCAGCCAACCAACCAATCAACCAGCCAACCATTTATCCAACCCACCATTCAACCAGCCAACCAACCAATCAACCAGCCAACCATTTATCCAACCAACCATTCAACCAACCAACCATTCAACCAGCCAACCATTTATCCAACCAACCAATCAACCAGCCAACCATTTATCCAACCCACCATTCAACCAGCCAACCATTCAACCAACCAACCATTCAACCAGCCAACCATTCAACCAACCAACCATTTAACTAACCAACCATTCAACCAGCCAACCATTTATCCAACCAACCAATCAACCAGCCAACCATTTATCCAACCCACCATTCAACCAGCCAACCATTCACCCAACCAACCCTTCAACCAACCAACCATTAAACCAACCAACCATTCAACCAGCCAACCATTTATCCAACCAACCATTTATCCAACCAACCAATCAACCAGCCAACCATTTATCCAACCCACCATTCAACCAGCCAACCATTCAACCAACCAACCATTCAACCAGCCAACCATTCAACCAACCAACCCTTCAACCAACCAACCATTCAACCAACCAACCATTCAACCAGCCAACCATTTATCCAACCAACCAATCAACCAGCCAACCATTTATCCAACCCACCATTCAACCAGACAACCATTCAACCAGCCAACCATTCAACCAACCAACCATTCAACCAACCAACCATTCAACCAGCCAACCATTCAACCAACCAACCATTCAACCAACCAACCATTCAACCAACCAACCATTCAACCAACCAACCATTCAACCAACCAACCATTCAACCAACCAACCATTCAACCAACCAACCATTCAACCAGCCAACCATTCAACCAACTGTGAATTAATTATTCCAAATAATCATACCCTGAGCTTCATAAAATTTGTTATCGTCAAAGGCGTAGACATCACTGGGTAGGGTTCCTCCCTTTTTCAGCGTGAAAGTGGATTCGAAATCCTCTGCGTAGCCGGAAGCAACCGGAGCGGGTGGAATGTAGAGTTACAGGACAGGATGTTGGTCAATCGCGGCATGGGAGTGGTAGGGTACCATGGCAGAAACATGTGGCAAAACCAGTTCAGACATCCCAGCAGGTCAGCCCATCCGATGATGATGATGATATTGCAGAAGGCAAATGTCAGATAGTAGAGTCAGCGTACAGCAACGTGGAAAACAAACAGATCAGAAAAAAAGTATTATTTACTTCAGCAGAGGAAGATATTATCCTCATCAACATTATTGACATCATCATCAAATGATCGTTATCATCGTAAACAAAAATATCATTATCGAAATCATCATCACTATTACCATCATTACATTATCAGCATCAGTGAATAATCGACATCATCCTCATAATCGACATTATCATCATCATTATAAACATCATCATCATCATTATCCACATCACCATTGACATCATCATCATCACCATCATTATTATCATCATTTTCATCAACATCATTATCGGCATCATTATCCTCTGTATCGACATCGTCATCGTCGTCATCATCATAGTCATTATTGACATTATCACCATCATTATCATCACCACCAAATCATCGTCGACATGCTCATCATCCTCTTCATAATCATCATAGTCGTTATCGTCGTCACCATCATCCTCATACAGAATTTCAACCACTAGTTTCCACGTCACGTGACATCCAAGTCTGTAACTGCCTGTTCGATACCGCCCTATGTAATCACACCTGTATATATTTTTTGACAGATCAGTACATTCATGTCTTTGAAAAGCTGCCCCAGTCTAATCAGCACAAAGTTTTAGGCGTAAATATTGACAGAAATGTACCCTTCACTTCTCATGTGCAACTTCCAGTGAAACAAACAGCTAAAAAAGATTTTTTATGAAACCGTCGATATATACGTAAGACTGTGGACATACAGGTCAGACCGTGGATATAAACGTCAGACCGTGGATATATACGTCAGACCGTGGATATACACATCAGACCGTGGACATACACGTCAGACCGTCGATATATACGTCAGACCGTGGATATATACGTCAGACCGTGGATATATACGTGAGACCGTGGACACACACGTCAGACCGTGGACACACACGTCAGACCGTGGACATCCACGTCAGACCGTGGACACACACGTCAGACCGTGGACATACACGTCAGACCGTGGACACACACGTCAGACCGTGGACATACACGTCAGACCGTGGACACACACGTCAGACCGTTGACATACACGTGAGACAGTGGACACACACGTCAGACCGTGGACATACACGTCAGACCGTTGACACACACGTCAGACCGTGGACACACACGTCAGACCGTTGACATACACGTCAGACAGTGGACACACACGCCAGACCGTGGACATATACATCAGACCGTGGACATACACGTCAGACCGTGGATATATACGTCAGACCGTGGACATATACGTCAGACCGTGGATACACACGTCAGACCGTAGACATACACCTCAGACCGTAGACATACACCTCAGACCGTGGACATACACGTCAGACCGTAGACATACACGTCAGACCGTGGACATACATGTCAGACCGTGGACACACACGTCAGACCGTAGACATACACGTCAGACCGTGGACACACACGTCAGACCGTAGACACACACGTCAGACCGTGGACACACACGTCAGACCGTGGACACACACGTCAGACCGTGGACACACACGTCAGACCGTGGACACACACGTCAGACCGTGGACACACACGTCAGACCGTGGACACACACGTCAGACCGTAGACATACACCTCAGACCGTGGACATACACGTCAGATCGTGGAAATACACCTCAGACCGTGGACATACACGTCAGACCGTAGACATACACGTCAGACCGTGGACATACACGTCAGACCGTGGACATACACTTGTAGACTCTCAAAGCATTTACCCGTCAGTAAAGCTGAAACTCTTTAAAAAAAATTGTACAGGGAATGCCAGTGTTTTAGGAAATAAACAGGCAGATATATTGGCTTTCTCCACAGTACTTTATGATAAATTGATGCATGACAAGCTACGCGCTGTAAGAGCATTTTGGGAGAGAGTGGACGGTGCCGTGACAGATCATCACCGTCCGAAAAAAAAAAAAAAAAAACAACGGTGCAGCCAGGAGTACCCGGGGGTGTCTGGCCGACACTCAAAACTCAAGGGACAGACCAGACAGACAGACTGTTACTGGTACCATCGGAACTGGAACTCTACTTCTGCTGCTGAAGATGGGGACGGAGCGCTTACGGAAATGTCCCGAGTGTTATGATTTCCGTTCCTAGCTCATAAAAAAGTGAAGGACGCTTTTCGACGCCTACAGATGTTATTGTGCACATTGTGCTAGGATATATTTTACAGAGCAATCGGACCATGTTGTCAACATCACGCCGGCCGCTTTTATTTCCCATGACCTCACATGGTACCCATTTAAGGCTAATCGACCTGGGATACAAAGCCATGAAAAAAAATATCCCATTCGATTTGAACCCATGATCTTCAGATCTGCAGGCGAACGTCTAGTCGTTACACTGCGGCGGCTCGCTCGTAACGCATAAGGTTAGGTTAGTTGCGTATCCTTTACAGGACGTTGCAGAACCAACCCCAACAGCCCCTGGCTGTTGTGGGGTTTTTGTAGGTAAATTTACGTTCAGTAGTTTGCCATTGCCCCTGGACGGTCGGCTTTCTTGACAACAATGTCGAAACCAACGGAAGGCCCATGGGTTGCAGCTGGGATCGAACCCGGCATCCCGTCATTACGAAGCGTTCGCATTGACTTAGCCACAGAGCCGACCATTTCGCATAAACAAACCTACAAAACAACACCACAATATAACATACCACCAACAAAAGACTAACAAACAACATGCAACAAAAACCTGTTCAATGACTGATTTATTCTCTCACCTGAGCCTGGACAGGACTTGCAACACTTGCCCAGTTTGAGAACCGGGTGCTCACAGTCTGGTTCCGGGCAGAGATCTTTGATGTTTCGGCACATGATGTCTCCCTTTGTCTGTAGTATTCCTTTCTTCTCCACCTGTTCACACAATTGTAACAGATGATTGGTAAAGGACCCTTTCCCACGTTTACAGGCATATAGGGAAAGACTTAATTTTTTAGATCAATCGGCACTTGGTAAGTGATGTTTTCCCATGAATTTTCCTGTTACCCATTTAGGGCTGGCTCGAGCTGGGAGCCATGGTCATTTCTTAAAAAATAAAGCTGGCTCTGGCAGGACCCAAATCAACGACCTTCCGACCGGCAGGCGAGCGACTATCTGCTACACGGCGGCGACTGCCAGACTTTTGGAAAGTAAGAACAAATGAATGACTATTTTGTGCTAGTGACAAATCTGACATATGGCACCAGATACACTTGTACAGACTTGTGGTATTACACCTGTTTTCACGTAGTGCCCATGGAATATATGACAAGACCAAGACCGGCTCTAACTGACGGGCCATGCTGTTGACATTACCAAACCGGGCTAACGATACGTTAACGCAGCGTTTCTAAAAAGTTTTTCGTTAGAAAAAAAAAAATGCAGCACACCTACCCTTAAAGCGGTTTGAATACTTAACATAAGAAGGTAATAATTTAATGTTGGGCAGATTTTGAAAATTTCTTGATTATTGCCTCGGCACCCCTGACATACGCTTAGTTTGAGAATCGCTGCGTTACGTATGGCTAGCTCGGTTTAGTGACGTCACATTAGTTGCAGTAAAGTCGAGAGATGTGAACCAGCCTCATTGCCCACGGTTATAAACCATAAGTGCTCTGCCACCAGTACGGACAGCTGATAAGAATTGTCCGCGTGTGTCGCCGTTCGCACGTAACTGTGTAGCTACAGCGACGTTCCTCTATTTACCCTAGAGAGTCAACTCTGGTACCCATTTCCTAGAGGCTGGGTAAAACCCGGGAACCGCCCGGTTTCGAACACCGAATGTGGGCGGCAACAAGTCGCAGCTGGATTTGAAAGCGAGCCTCTTATCGACTACGCTAACGTGGCCCACACATTAGATGCACATGGCTGGTCTATGGATCACGCCCACATTGTTAATGCCCTTAGAGAGAGAGTGCCATCGAAGGATTTTGGCAGCAGCATTTCCAAATCGCAGCTAAGAATTCAAGCATTCTGAGTAAAGATCGGCACAGCCAGGCACGAGAGGCACACCGACGTACAAGAAGTCTTGTCAACTAGCATAGTCTTCTTCTTCTGCGTTCATTCGTAGATGTAGTTGTGTTGTGTCCGTTCACAGCATGGCTGCGATATTTGCACCTTTCGGCCAACACATCCGACTTCTGCGGGCATTTGCTGACCGGGTTAGTCTTTCCGGTCAACTAGCCTATGATTGGCATTATCAAGGCGGAGTTGTCGTTGATGTATATATTGAACGGGGAATCTGTTCACCCATGGGTGTGTCTAACTGGAGAAAATACTTGTCCTGTTGGCGAAACCACGTGTTTAATTAGAGAAAATACTATTCCTGTTGGCGAAATAACGTGTCTAATTTGCGAATTTTTTTGTGTTTAATTGGCGAAACCAAGTGTCTAATTGGCGAAACTACGTGTCTAATTGGCGAAAACACGTGTCTAATTGGCGAGACGACGTGTCTAATTGGCAAAAATACTTGTCCTGTTGGCGAAACCACGTGTTTAATTGGCGGAAATACTTGTCCTGTTGGCGAAATCACGTGTCTAATTGGCAAAAATACTTGTCTAATTGGCTAAAATACTTGTCTAATTGGCGAAAATACTTGACTAATTGGCGAAAATACTTGTCTAATTGGCTAAAATACTTGTCTAATTGGCGAAAATACTTGTCTAATTGGCGAAAATACTTGACTAATTGGCGAAAATACTTGTCTAATTGGCGAAAATCCTTGTCTAATTGGCAAAGCTGTTTACACATTCTTATTTGAAGTTAAATTTAAAGGGAACGTTATGCCTAGAGCTGAAAACGGGACATCTCAAACAAGTCAGTTTAACTCAACTGACCCCCTCCCCCTTTTTTTTTAAACGTCACCTGACTGAAAGGGTTAATTATCCGTTCTACAATTTTATTAAAACCAGAAGCAGCGACGTAGATAAATAAACGAAACAATATGCTCTTTAACTGCACTGCAAACAAGAACCATGCGTCAATGAAACGTCCCATCAACACTTATCGGGAAGTAAAAGCATCTCTCTAGTGTATGTTATGTTCTCAAGCTTTTCCCTAGATTTTTATAAAACACTACAATTATCAGTTTTTTTTAGTACCGACGGGACGGCCAGGACACACCGGGAAAAAAACACGGGGACTGTCCCGGTGAAAACGGGACGCATGATACCAAACTTAAATTCCAAACTGGCATGAGAAACTTACTGTTTACTGCTTATATGGCCCGACGCCAGAAATTCGCCCGTGTGGTCGGCCAATTCCCACGCGAACATATGGTTGTAAAGAAGCGCTTTAACTGGTCTTAAAAAGTGCCATTAGGGGCAGAAACAAGGTCGTTGCAAATTGTAACCGCTGTAAAAGATGGCCTCCCACACGTGGGCTGCCGCTTAGCAACATATGTACAATGGACGAGTTATCTCACAACCACTTGGCTACCAGCTGCACGTGTGGATTATGCAAATGTCCCTGGATCGATCCATATTTTTTTGTCTTGGAAAAGTTCTTGCGCCGAGGCCACAATAAGGCTCGTAACTAAGGCGACTTAACGGGGAGCTAAGAATTTCTGCTTCTTCGGTTCACGAGTTCCCCAAATAACCAACTAATTTCCTCGTAAACCGTTCAGAAACCGGGGCAAAGCCTTTGCTGTCAAAGCCCTTGCTTCGCCATCAGATGGAAGACAGACGCCGTCGCATAAACCAGACTCACAGAACACCTGTTGTATTTTCAGGTAGGCGTTAAATTCTCAATAAAATATGTCTCTTAGCTGTCAGATCATTGCTGCTGTGTGGAATTTGCAGGTAGGGAGCAAAGGTATATCGACAGGGAGAAAGAGTAAATGTTCCCACATGATAACAACCACTTTCCCTGGAGTATCAGTGTCTTTTCATTCGCAAAAAAAAAAAAAAAAAAAAACAGCTCACATCCCAGCGACTTCCCCAAACAAGCCAAAGCCACTGGCGGACATACATACATATATAACCATAAGGCAGAGCCGTCCTAACACAGGAACCCCCTGGGAACTTGCCTGTGTCCCTACGAGCACAGGGGCGGAGGCGTAGAAAGGGCCGCACCGAGGGTCATCACAGGGTATTGGGGGTGGGGGAGGGGCGAGGGGGGGGGGGTTGACAAAATGGCACAAATATATGTTTTTCCTGGAACTTGTTACGAAGTCCAGCCCAGATAGGGCGTATTTGAGCTTTCATTCATGCTTTCTCATCCCCGACACAGGCTAGTCTATGTTAGAGGGGTGTCACGTTGTCTTGTGTTTGCGAAGAGCATCCCATATTTTGCGTATCCAGACGGCCAGCTACGCTGTTTGTTTTACTCTTTACGGCAAGCGGACAGCGACATTGCGTATATCACGGAGTTCAGGTACGACGTGGATTTAGGTAAGCTGTCCGCGTTAACGGACGACAAGGAGGAGAGCGTTGCTTTTCTGCAGCAAGACGGGTTTTTAGGAAGCAGAGGAAAATGTTAACAATTCTGAAACCATGGCACGAACTCTAGATTCTCTCGTGGGACCTAGGCTAGGGCCCAGTCCGCGCGTTGGTGGTATATAGGCGACCTGTCCTAGTCATCGTCTTGAACGAAGTTTTTTCGTCAGGGACACAGATGAGTATTATTTATTTTGTACATTAGAGTCCTATGTAGTCACTTCATAGTTAGAGCATATTTGTGTATGTGTACTGTGTTGTTCTTTATGTGCTGATGAAAGCTAATCGCCGCAAAGTCCTTTATTTGTTTCTTGTGATCGACTTTGTAAAGCTAACATAAATTATTTGTTCTTTCTTACCTACTTTTTCTTTTCCCTACAATTTTCTACCCCTTTTAAAAACTGAGATAGGGAGGGGGTTGTGGTTAGGGCCAGTTCTATATGTTCTAGGATCGTTTAAGGCGGCGTCGCCGTGTAGTATAGAACACGCGACATCGCTGCTGATAGCATTGGATACAAGACGACGTGACACCCCTGTAACATAGACTAGCCCATGTCACAGGTGAGAAAGCATTAATGAAAGCCCAGTTTCACTCTATTTGGGCCGGACATCGTAATAAGAACCATTTTTAACATTAACAAATTTGCGCAAATGTGTGTGTGTGTGGGCAAAAAGAAGATGGTGGGATAATGACACCTATTGTCTGGCCATGCAAAGCCACTGTATATGGACCCCATACTAACGTGTGACCTGCCAACAATCTAATAAATGAAATAAATTTATTAATACTTAGGAGCGGTTGTGGAAGGAGCCCCTGCACACTGGTTTGCCCAGGAGTCCACAGTGCTATTACAACGGCTCTGCCCTAAATGGGTGTGAACAGACGAGGGTGAGACCAGAAGGAAAAATCAATTAAAGCAAAACCGGCGTCCGTACCCAGCGATATACAAACTGTTCAGCTTATCACGCGGGTTGTCCAAGCACTAGGGAATCCTGAAGTATGCAGCAAGCGCGACCCAGTACAGACAATGCAGGTGTTAACTGGGCCTAATCTTCACAGTCGGCCCTTTGTTTGCCTAGCTAGTGAGCAGGAGAAGATGTATTTAAATCCTCGGTGGAAAAGTTTGTCTAGGAAGTCGTTTCTAATCTCTAGAACCACTGGGAATGTTCGTAGCCGTCAGCCGTTTTCAAATGTAACCAACCACGTGATCAGAACCGCACACTTCACGCCGCAAAGCAAGCCCTTGAATGGATTGGCACAGATTATCCGTAATCCCTTCTATTATGGCTATTCGTGACGTCACCCTGGAGACGAGGGCTGGAGGTGTTCAACGAGAGACCTGGTCAATTTGCTTGTGGATTTGCTCCTCTTGTTAGGAACATAAGAACAGGAATGCTAGACCAATAGACGCTCTTGTTGAGGTTGTTGTCGCAGACGGT